GAGAGAGAGAGAGTTCTTCTTCTTCCTCTTCTAAGTCCACCTTCTCTTCTCACCCTCTCGCCACCTGACTTCTCAGACTACGATAGAGAGAGACAGAGTTGTGACTTGAGACTTGACGACATTGGATCCAGACTTGACATTTGGGATTCAGACATTCCGACGAGGGACTATTTGGGCTTGTGCCGAAGACTTGGTTTCCCATCTTCCCCCTCCTCTTCGTCTATCCCCTTCCTCCTCGTCTGTGCATGTTCTGGGCTGGCGCTGTCTTCCTGTGTGAAGCGCCAGACCCATTCACACTATGAAATGATGATGATGATGTATGTTCAGGGCTGCATTACAACATTGATTGTTCGGATCACTGGTATCTAAGTCTTCCTATGTAAGGCGGCCGCTAGCAAGGCGACTCCACCTTCTACTCCGCCAGATTCGGCCGCCTTGCTAGCGGCCTCCTGCACATCTGGGGAGGATGCGAATGTCGCAAGTCCTCGGTATACTTACGAGGATTATGCTGTCCACTTGGTTCCACCGCTGGACCAACCGCTCTACGTGCAACAGTCCACCGCATGCACGGTTTCATCACCATCGGCAACCGATTCGCCGCAATCTATCGCCGGGGATTCGACGTCATGGTCAAGACTTGATGAGCTCGATCCGTTGACGTTCACGGACTTCCAGTGGATGCCCGTTCCCTCGACCGGACGATTGCCGAAACCGCATTGCAACGTGCTTATGGCACAATTGCGGGACTACTTGCACACTGCAGTACCAACTCTGTTGATGGACGCCGGAGCAGAGGTTGTCGACCTTCACGCTTTTATCGCGAAGATCGACCGCAAGTTCAAGACGCAACGGTACGACGACATCGACGCACCATTGCTATACATACGCATTCAGATCGGAGAGGCGAACTGCAGTGCCTTGATCGATTGCGGAGCATCTCGCAACTACATCAGCCAGGACTTCATGGTACGCACCGGCCTTGGCCCACGTGTCCGGAGGAAGTCCCAGCCTACGCAAGTCACTCTGGCAGACGGTCATACACACAAGTCCATCGACCGGTGCATTGACGCCGTCCCAGTGTACTTTGCCCCCCAGGCAAGTGAGGCGGTGTCCTTCGACATTCTGGACACCAAATTCGACATGATCTTGGGCATGTCATGGCTGCGAAGCAAGGATCACCCGATGAACTTCTTCAACCGCACCGTTCACGTTCGTGACCGGAACGGAGTATTAGTTCCATGCACGGTGCCTCTTCCTCATCCTTCACGTGGTATCCGTCGCAAGCATGCGAGCTTCCATCATCAGAGACGACATCGAGGAGATGGGGGTGTGTTTTCTCCACGCCCTCCCGCCACATGACGCTTCATTGACGGACTCACCTTCGGATCCACGCATCACCGAACTGCTCAATGCCTACAGCGACGTGTTCGAAGGCCCGCACGGAGTAGTACCGGATCGACCCATCCGCCACAAGATCATCCTCGAGGACGGGGCCGTACCTCCGCGCGATTGCATCTACCGAATGAGCGAGGAGGAGTTAAGTGTGCTTCGGGCACAACTCGACGACCTTCTAGAGAAAGGCTGGATTCGGCCTAGCTCATCGCCATACGGTGCTCCTGTTCTCTTCGTCCGGAAGAAGAACAAGGACCTGCGGTTGTGCATCGATTATCGCAAGCTCAACGCGCAGACGATCAGGAACGCCGGCCCTCTCCCACGCATCGACGACCTTCTCGAGCGATTGGGCGGCGCCCAGTTCTTCTCTAAGCTGGATCTCAAGTCAGGGTACCACCAACTCGAGATTCGCAAGGAGGATCGCTACAAGACCGCGTTCAAGACTCGGTATGGGCATTTYGAATGGCTGGTCATGCCATTTGGCCTTACGAATGCCCCAGCCACTTTCCAAGCGGCTATGACGACGGAGTTCCGACACATGCTGGATCGTTTCGTACTTATCTACCTCGACGACATTATGGTTTACAGCCGGAGTCTGGACGAGCATGTGGAACACCTGTGCACCGTTTTGGAGCGGCTACGACAGGCCAAGTACAAAGCAAACCGCGACAAGTGCGAGTTCGCACAGCAGGAGCTGGAGTACTTGGGACACTATGTGACGCCGCAAGGCATCCGTCCGCTTGCGGACAAGATCGAGGCCCTACGAGTATGGCCCGAGCCCACCAACACCATGGACGTTCATTCATTCATGGGGTTGGCGGGCTACTATCAGCGATTCATCACCGGATACTCCAGGATTGCTGCACCTATGACGAGGTTGCAGCCGCCAAAGGTGCCATTCGTATTCGATGACGACGCACGCCGGTCATTCCAAGCACTTAAGACGGCTATGCTCATGGCACCCGTCCTTAGCATTTATGACCCCACCCTGCCGACGTGAGTGACTACGGACGCTTCCGGCTATGGCATTGGGGCAGTCTTGGAACAACACGACGGCGACGACTGGCACCCTATGGAGTATTTCAGCCACAAAGTGCCTCCCATCAACTCGCTTGATGATGCAAGGAAGAAGGAGCTGCTTGCATTCGTGATGGCTCTCAAACGCTGGCGGCACTTCCTCCTTGGGCGACGTAGGTTCACATGGATCACAGACAACAATCCATTGACCTACTACAAGACGCAGGACATGGTGAGCAGCACGATCGGACGATGGATGTACTTCATCGACCAATTTGACTTCACACCAAAGCATGTCCCCGGCCTCTCCAATCGCGCAGCAGATGCACTCTCGCGAAGACCTGATCTTTGCGCTATGACACATCATG